GGTTTCCTACCTTATTGATTTGAATCTTTCAGCAAAGGACATACAAGGGCAGAGAGTGAGAGTTTTCCTTTCTAAAAGGTGATGAAGCAGTTTTAATAGTGAATACGTTAAAAGGGGTTTTTTTTTGGAGCTAGTAATATTCCAAATACTGGTACTGAAGGCCTATTTTGAACATACCAAGCAATGATGGGATGTGGACATACTAAAACTCTTGAGCTATGCCTCTTAAATATGACAGAAAATCAAATTGTGCTCCTGGAATTGCAGTGAAATCCTTGTTCATGTCTCTGGATGTCTTGGATGTTCCACAATAACGTGTATGGATGAATTTTCCCTTATTATTCCTTATTTCTGCTGGAAATCCAGCAAAATTCTTGTTCATGTCTCTGGATGTCTCTAATGTTCCAAGTTGAATTTTTGTCTTCACTTCTAATTCTGTTGTTGGTCTTGGAGTTGTCATTTCAATTTAATGTTAATATAGAAAGAAAGTCGTCGCAGTAAATCAGCTAAAAAAATGTATTTAATTCAATTAGCATATATAAATGAATAAGAAAAACGCTCATACCTTAAGGATTTGTCCCCTGTTCTTGCAGCTAAATAACCCAACTGGATGCAGAACAGAAGAATCTCAATGGAAAAGGTGCCTTTTTGACACAGGATATAATGACACTGATGACAAACCAGCTTGGCCTTGCTTTGTGTTTGTACCAATCTGAGAACAATAGGGAATGATCAGTGGACTGCAGAGTGCTGCATCCGTCATTACTCCTATCTTTGGGCAACTCTGCCCGGAAGGTGCTCCCATTTTCCCTTCCTATCCTTTTCATAGGTAATTGTTACCAGTGAAATAAGCCCTGCGTTGTTTTTTCTTATTTCTGGTCGCGATAGTTTAATTCACAGACATTCCTTCTAACATCCTTATAGCTGCACGTATGTATTTTACAAGTAGGCCTCTAATTACTGTTGCTGCACAGTTGCTGTCTAACCTGTCAAGTCTCCACAACAGACACATCGGTCATTTTGCAATCGCTCTGCTGTTTGCACAAAGGGAGAAGCAGTGGGTAAGGTGCCTGGCAGCGAGGATTAGGAGCACCATTCTCAGCATCGGGACTTTTTTGGATCGCTGTGTGTTAGAGCCAAACAGATCAGGGCATGTAGAGCCACCCAGGGTCTGCCAGCACTCTGTACACAAGAACATGCTTTAGAGATTTGTTCACCTGCGTGATACGGAGCTGGCAAAGCCTCAGTATTTACTGCTGCCTCTGGCATGCGGCTTTTCTCCTGCACACAGATCAGAAAGCGGTATTTGAAGACATCATTCCAACGTTTCTTTCAAAATAAAAAAGCCTGGGACCTGGAATTTCCTGCAGCTGAGGATGTATTTCTGCACACTTGTTAACGTTCTGATTTTCTTCCAAAAGCAGAACTTTCCATGAGATGGGGTAATAAATGGGAAATCGTGGCTGTCAGAATTTCAGTTATTCTGGATGTAATTTACTCTCTTTGTACGTGGTTGACACCTGCTACTAGCAAGTCACAGCAGAAGTGCTTTTATGGTGTGTGCTGGGTGGATGTGCGTTGTACAGCCCTGCTTAACTTCTGGGATGACAGAGCAGCACCTCCCATTCACCTCTGCTGTGATCCAGTGTAACTCTGGCACTGAGTAATACACAAAGCAACTCCAGAGAATCCTGAGGTGTTCCTACACTGCTCTTTGTATCCTTGTCTTGTTCTTGGAGAATCAGTAATTCCAGCAAGAAGGGCAAATTCATGTTCCATTCAGCCCAAAGAAGGGAGAGTTTATTCCAGTGCATACTTAGAGACTACAAAATGGAAAAATAGGTGTTGCAAGCAATGTACTTTGCTTAGGTTCCTTTTTTTTTTCTTCCTTCTCTGAATAACAGAATGAAGAGCTGAAGCCAACACCACAGTAAGATCCTGGGGACCAAAATCACTCAGATGTGCCATTGCATGCACTGTCTCCAGGTTTAAAAAAAGAACCTGCAGATGCGTAAGCACACCAAATCTTAGGATTAGCACTGAATTATTCATTGGGAAGTGGAAGAGGTTAACTCAGAAGTAGCACAGGAGCACAAATGTCACGTGCCTTTCTCTGAAGATCCCAGAAATGTGATTCTTCGGGAAACCAATGACTGAGATACAGGAATGCATGCAAACTTAGAATAAAGTGTGATTCTCCAGTGAGGAAATCTGGAGGCAAATCTGCCTGTTCTCCTAAAAAAGAAAAATGTTCAGTAAGTTCACGATCAGGGTTTTGCTGTGCTGCGTAGTTCCAGTTCTCAAACCCAGACTTTCGCTCTTTGGGAACATCTCCAGTCACTCTGCTCCCATTAACTCAGCTGATGGGGAGATTGAGTTGCCAGGATATAATAAATATTCCAACCCAGGCATTTGTAGCAGCTATAATGTGATGCAACGGAAGTCAGTAATAGCACTGCTATCACCTCATTTCTACTGCTGCTTCTGCTCTCCTGCTCAGGATTCTTGCAAGTCTTGCTGGAGAATCAGGTTTGTTCCCACCTGTCTGGGAGCAGTGGGAGGTGAAGGAGTTGCTCCCTTGCCAAATACATGGGTGAATTAAACAGACCTTGAACTGATGCATGCATTCATAGTACCATGTTTTGGGGAGGGATACCATTTTTTACACAAGCACGCTTGGTTCCACATGTACCCAAAAGGGCTCTCAGAACGATTTAGATTTTATGCCACATCATTTCTGGATTTCAGAGGTGCTGGTAGCAGCTCACAGGCAGCTTGCTGAGTTATGAGGCTGTTAGGAGCACATATACTCTAAAACTCTTGGCCTGGCCGGAAGAACACCAAGGTCAAAAAGGGAGAGGCTCTCTGAGTCAGAGAGGGTTTTTTTCAGCAATGTTTTTGGATGTTTGTGTTTCTGATCCAACTTTATTGTAATCAAGCTGACTCTTCTTTGAATTGACCCCATCTGTCTTTTGAAGAGCCTGTAATGACGTCAGCTAAGATCTGAAGTACCCACAGAAGCTGCTGCAAGATCAGAAAAGACGAGGAAAGAACTTTGTGATTGATGTGGGGCAACTGAAGATCTCTGCTCTCAGAAAGGACAGTCTCCCCCTGCCCCACACTGCATATCACTGCTGCCTCTTCTTGCACCCAGTCACCATGCAGCCACACCACGCCATGCATCTCATCCATCTTTTAACCTGATTTAGAGGGGGGAAAAAAAAAGCATTACTGTTGTTTTTTAGAACTTGTCACCAACATCACAGTGCAGCCCTACGACTGCATGGCTGGACATGGCAGGAGCACGCAGCCAAGGGCAGCTCAGCAGTGTGATCTTATTCCGATGTAACCAGACGTGATGCCATGTGCCAGGTATTTAACAGAGCCTTTCAGAAACACATCAGGTGTGTCAGCATGAGATCCAGGCACTGCAGTGCAGATTCATTAGCTCAGAACATCAGGAAGCACGGGGCTTGCAACAGCAAGATGCAGGACAGGACTCACTGGGATTGGGAAACGGGGGAGGTGGTGAGGATCAAAGCGTTCGGCAGGAACTCCATTTGCATTGAGATGTGGACAGGAAAACTGATAGCATGAGAGCAGGGGCAGGGAGAAACATTGCTTCTGCCTCCGACTACAGGCAGGCAGCCAACAGGCTGAGCTGAGCCCCGGCTGTGCGCCTGGTGCCACATCCCAGGAGATAGAGTGGACAAAATAGAAAGGGGGAAGGAAAGAAAACATTGAGAAGGAAACTGAAAGCAAGATAGAGGTCACTGGGTCTGCCCTGTTGTGCCGTGCAAAGATCATCTGCAGCAACCATAGTCCACATCAGCTACATGCAGTTCTACAGCCTGACAGTATCGTCGTGTCCTGCAATGTGAAGTGGTGATTTTCATTTGTTTATAACTGGAGTCCGTGGATGTTTTCTAGCAGCAGCTAGGAAACTTGCTAAACCCTCCTGTTTTTCCAGGACTATCCAAACAAACAGGCAGAAAAGAAAAATTACAGCACTGGCCCAGGACATTCCTCTCCCTCTCGTAAAAAGATCCGCTTTCCTTTTTCTAAGTTGAGCTCTGAAAAGCAGATGAACTCTTGCAAAACTCCTTGAATTGCTGAGGAAATACTGAACAGTTCAGATGAGTGGGAACAAGCAATCCTCACTAATCAGTTTCGGTTTGCCTTGAAATTTAGCCAACATCTCCTCTCTGTTCCATGCAGTTTTCTATCTGTTCTCTGTTGATAACCAGGAGCAGGAATGCTAACCAGAACAGCAGGGGTCAGAGGAAAATGCCTTGTCCCGAATGTTCTCTTATCCTGGGATGTATTAAAAGATCACTCGTGGGGTATTTCCACTAATGTGGAAATCTGGGAAAACTGCAGCCACGTCACACCAATAAAAGAGAGCAAAAAGCAACCTTAATCTTGATTGCAAAACTGCTGAAGCAGAGGAAGTTTGGGAAAGTTTGTATAAGGAAGAGCTGGCATGGTGGGTAGGAAAAGGAACAAGGCACGTTTTTAGTTCGGATGGCAGCTACAGCGATGGCACAAAATTGCAGGAGGGATTTGGAAGCGACGAATTCTGCTGTGGGGGGAACTGATGAACTCAGCGTAACATCACGAGAGCTACCGGCGACTCACTTAACACGTTCAATTTCTTCGCGAGAAGACGTTAGCATCTCGGGCACGTTTCAATAGCGGTCGGAGCCGAGGTGTGAAAAATCACTTTTACTCCCCCAGACGCGATCTTTTCGAGCTTACGGCCGCGCTGGTGCCTGAGGGAGGAGCCCTGGGGGGCACCACAGACGCGCTGGGCGCCCATTCGGCTCCGCGGTGCGGGCGCTGGACGAAGCGGCACCGACGGGCAGCGGGCACGGCGAGGGGCCGCCCAGGTGGGCGCGGGTTGGCCGCAGCCGCCCTCCGAGGCCGCCCCCCCTCGGCTCGGGTTACCTGGGCGGGCCGCGGCGCGGCTCTTCCCGTCTGGCCCGCCCCCCGCGACGGGAAGTGCGAGCGTGCGGTCGGTCGCTGTCGGACGGAGGGAGCTGTGGAGCGATGGAGAGCCGGGGTTCGTTCGGAGCTCCGCTGCGGTGTCGGTTGCTGTTCCTCGCCGCGTGTTTTGCGGTGGCGGCGGCGGTGGTTGCAGGTGAGCTGGGCCGGGCCGGGGGGAGGAGGGCAGAAAGAGCCGGGTTCGGTGCCGGCGGGGAGCGGTCATCGGCGAGAGACTGCGGGCGGACGGACCGACGGACGGCTGGGGGGGCTGGTTGGCATCGTCTACCGAAATCAAAAGCTTTCGTTTCGTGGCTGCATCGCCCGAAGTGCGTGAGCTTCAGAGGGATCGGCACCCGCACTGCGCTGCGCCTCTTACTGGAGCGGGGAAGGGAGATGCTCGGAGTTCTGCATCTCTTTCCCTGCAGGGCAGATCGCAGATATCTTTTAAGCTCGGCGGTTCCTGGGGCTGTCGCTGCTTTAAGAAACCCGAGCCGAAGCTGTGCGGGCATTGCGGTGTGCGCTGGGCAGCGGCGGTGCTCCGAGCCGCCCCTCCGCACCCCGAATTCCTTAGGAAGGGCGAGCTGGAAAGCGGAGCGGGTGCGTGGGGGGCTGATGAGAAGCGGGGGGTGTCCAGATGCAGGGGATGAAGCCCTATGGCTCGCTTTGATGCGTCCGTACGGCCTCAAGCGTTTGGGAATTGCTGCTTTATAACCGGGTGCGATTCGCTTTATAACCACGAAGTGCGTCTTAAGAAAATAAAGGACAAGGAGAAAGGGCTTTGCTTGTTTGTTTTGTTCTTTTTTACGACGTTTTTACAGTAATTCATACAGAACGTTCGTTGATGTTTCCACCTGATGGTTTTTAAAAGGTTTCGTGGGGTTTTGGTGCTGTTTATGTGCAGTATTGTTTCAGCTCTGCTGTTTGCATTACTGCTGTGCTTTCTTGGAAGCTATCACTGCGCTGTTTGGTTTTGGTTTTCCTTTTCTTTTCTTTTCAAGAACGATATTAAAGCTTTGGAATGGTATGTGTTGGAAGGGACCTTAAGAATCACCCACTTCCAACCTTCCAAACTGTCGTATCTTTCATGTTTTGTATTTGGCTGTTGAGGTGTCCTGCCAAATTGCTGTGCCAGTGAGATTTGAATAACGAAGTATTAGATTGTGTCTATATTGTATGTAAATATATGTGTGCATGTTGGACTGGATGCACAAATAAAAGCAAATTTTCAGCTGAATGAAAACCCACACAACTCTTAAGCTTCGGCTTCAACTTGAGGCTTTTTGGATTTAAGTTTCTTACACGGATGCAATTCATGTATTTATAAACCTTGAGTGTTCCCAGTTCTCACTGTGGGCAGGCAGAAAATTCTTGCCAGACCTTTTAAATGGTGACCACTGAGAAAACTCACTTCTTTTAATGATTTGTGGCTTTTGTGGGTGATTTCAAAGAAAGATCAGGAGAATACATTGCTCAGAGCGCTGAATAAATATTTGGTGGCACGTTTTGTTTCCTTTGTGTTATCTGAAGAACCTCCATGAAGCAGCACTTGGAGCTGACAGGCTCAGGCCCTGCTGCTGTTTGGAGGGGCTTTGCTGTGGAAGAGGCAATAGGGAAATGTGTTCTGCAGTGGGACAGGTGATGGGGATGGTGTTCTGGCTTGGTGTTCTAGAAGGAGACTATTTTGTAAGCTTGGTGATTCAGAATTACTGCGTGTTCTTTGCTTCTGAGATCAGCTGTTTAAAATAACAATAATAATTCCACAAGCTTTGTCTGCTCAGAAAAGCCAGGAGTGTTTGGGCTAAGGCAGCAAATCCTGGTGACGCTTCTCATTTTTGTTCTGAACGTAAATTGTCACACAGATGGTAACATCTGAGCTCTGCTGCTGCCTGTTCCTTGGCTGTGCAAATTCAGAGAGCTGGATTAATTTTCTTGGAGCTTCAGCAGAAATAGCTCTCAGGACATTTAAGATAATGGTATGACAGACTCTTGCAGCAGAATTCTTGCTGAAGGAACCTTTTTTTGCCTTTTCTTCCATCCCCTTCCTTCTGCTAGCAGAAGCAAATGCGGTTGCATGCCGAACTGGATGGGAGATCTCCTATCTATGTCATTGTTTTCCCTTGTCACACACGTTGCCCCAAATGTTGGAGGGGGTTTTGGGACACGTAGCACCGGTTGGTATCAGTTTCAAGTGTTTGTGGAGCTGCTGCACAGCAGGGATACCCCTTCCACAGCCAGCAGGTAGCAGTGAGACCTGAATGCAATCAAGAAGCCGTCTCGTTTGGCCTCTTATTAAATATCTTTTAGTAGCACGCTGAGGGTTTCTTAGGGAGTCACCAGTGGCTGACTTTTTCTAGAATGCACCACGCTTTAGTTTTTCCTGCCAGTTTTTTACTTTCTGTCTCGTTTCCTTCTCCATCTGACCTTCGAGCCGTGATGAGCTGTTAGAAGGCAGTGACTCAGTGCCCAGGTCTGGAAGGTTGGAGGCACAAATGGGTTTATCCCAGCGCCTCTGAGTCACTTTCCTCTGCTTTCCTCTGCTCCGTCGTGCTTTGGAGGAGGCAAAAACATTTACCACTGAAGCACAGCCGTGGTGAATTACTGTTTTTCCATGCTAAGTTGGCTCACCGTGTGAGAGCATGGTGTTAAATGTGAGTAATTGAAGAAGCCTTGTGGGCTTGTTTGTCTGTTTGTTTGAGTAACACTCTTGGTTTTGATTAGATTGGGCTGAACTGTGGCTCTAGCCTACTGTTGTTGCTTACGAGTGGTGATGGCTTTTCTCTTTTTGAAGTGTTCTTTTTGAACCTGTACTGATGGCTGAATTGTGGGTAGGATAAAATATCAATGGCTTCATAGGCTCTACATACATTTGCAGAAGATTTGGCGTTCGTGATGCGAACTCACAACAAGAAATGGGAAACGCGGGCACTGAGATTCATCTTTCCCTATAAACATTGGTTTCTTTGCCACAGATGCTCTATGCTGTGATTTCCTTGAAATCACTTTAAAATATATTCCGTGTTTCTTATAGTGATAATCAGTGGGCCTTGTTAATGGGAGTGGTGGAGGCGTTGTGGTGGACAGTAGCTTTTCTGATAGCAAACACGGAAGAATGCTCTTTATGTTCTGATGAAGAGCTAAAAATCTGTCATTATCAATGGTGAAATGTGGAGCGATGGGGTTGCTATAGCAATAACTTCTTCCTTTTAGGAGAAAAAGTTCTACCCCCTCCATCCAACCTCAACTATTCATTTATCCAAATCTGCACCTTGAACTGGACATGGAATCCCCCAGAGAACATCAGCAGTAGCTGTGACCTGGAATATTCCAGTGACATCCTGATCGATGAGGTGTCTCAGCACAAAAACGTGAGTTCCTCTTGTCCTGCTGCTCTGCAGCAGGTGCTCTGGTGAATATATTATTGTGATAAAGCTAGGTCTGTGTGTGTTATATTATTATATCTGTAGACATGTTAAGAAGTGCAGTTGTATTACAACTTCTGATTCTTGTTGTGGGATCAAAACCTCAAAAACGAGTCACTCCAACATGTGGAATATGGAGACAAAAATCTGTCACTCTCTGATAGTGGAACTACTCCTGATAACACAGGAGTATTGCAGTAATAATGTGGGAGTGCGTGTGCGTGCCTGCCCTGCCCCAGCACTGTGCTTCCAATTGCTCGTGGGCTTTGTGTTATGAAGACAGCATGGAAGAAATCTTTATCTTTTGAAAATGGGTTCATTTGGCTCTCCTGCTTTTCTTTCTGTGTTGGGTGTTTTGCATCCCAGGTGTGATTCTCGGTGTGTCTCACTATAGATTGAGAACTCTTTGATCACAATGACAAGAAGCGTTTCTGTGACACTGAGGGGGCTGTAGGAGAGTTAGCAAGATAATTTTCCATCCCTCAGTAGTTTCAAACGGTCTGAGTTTGAAGCTTGAAGTACACACTGACCGTGGGGCCAGCAGTGCTGGGCATGGTTAAAATCAATGGAACGCCCCTAAGGATGCCTGCTGAAATAATCCTTTGTTGTTGAGCTGTTGTTCATGTTCCTAATGGCCTTTGCACTGTGACTGCTGTGTTCTGTCTGAGAGCCCCAGGATGTGCTGGGATTTGTGGTTTCACAAGCAGATAAGCTGATAGGATGACTGGACACTGCTAAAAGGGTTGTATGTCATTTTTGACAGCCTCTCCTCTAATGATCGCTGTCAGACCTTTCTGTGAGTCAATTGAACTTGCTAACTCAGCAGAAAGATATTTACTTCCTTAATAGTTTCAGTAACTAACTGGAAGCCTGCTTGGATTGCAAGTGGAATGGTCTGTGGGAGGGTCTAACAAATAAGGTCAGCAGCAGTGAAATAGCTGTTAGATCCATGCGGACTTATTGCAGGATCATTCTCCTCCATATGTGCTAAATCTTTGATCCCTTACCCCCATTGTGGTAGGGTTCCTTGCTCCCATTACAATAGACATGAACGAGCACACAGAATTCTCTTGCTGAGTTGGGAGTGTGTCTGATAAGGAAAACAAACATCTAAGTGACATCAGTTCTTCCATGTGTGGTCAGATATTCGTGTCACTGGGCTTTTCATTGGGCTTTCAGTTTTTTTTTTTTTTTTTTTTAATGGACTCAAATGTGTGTTTGTAGTAATTTCTGTGTATTTGATGCAATATTCCAAATGTTCTGGTTTTCTTTTCCCCCATCTAAACTTAGGAGTGGAGAAAGAGTCTCTTTCGTGTGACTGACACAGTCTTGAATAAGGAGATGCGTTTCAAAGTGAGAAGTGAGTGCAAGAACAGTAATGCCACCAATCACAGCCAATGGGTGGAGACCTCTGTTCCACCAAAAGGTAACGCAGCACAGCAAGGCTTGAGGCTGGCGTGCATCTCTTGGGTGAGGAGATGGAGCAAAATATCATGGAAATACATCAGAGCAAAATATGTCTGAGAGATACGTGTTCAGCCTGGAGAAGAGGAGGCTCAGGGGAGACCTCATTGCTCTCTATAAATTCCTGAAGGGAAGTTGTAGTGAGCTGGGGGTCGGCCTCTTCTCTCGTGTCATTAGTGATAGGACCAGAGGGAATGGCTTCAAGCTACGGCAGGGGAGATTCAGGCTGGACATGAGGAAGTATTACTTTTCAGAAAGGGTGGTCAGGCACTGCAATGGATGCCCAGGGAGGTGGTGGAGTCACCGAGCCTGGGGGTGTTCAAGGAAAGGCTGGATGTTGTGTTGAGGGGCATGGTTTAGTGGGAGCTGTTGGGAATAGGTGAACGGTTGGACTGGGTGATCTTTTAGGTCTTTTCCAACCTTGGTGATTCTATGATTCTAAAGGGAAGGTCAGTTGGCAGAGCTTAACAGAATGGCACACAATGGCATCTTCTGACACTTGAAGTCTCACAGGCAAGCTCTTCACATTTAAATGCGCTTCCAAGGTGTTGTGATCACCATCATTCATCTTCTACCTGCCATCTTGTGGTTGTGCAATAAGAGGGAACTTATGTTGATTTATACCCACTGTTCAGTCACTAGCATGTAAGTTTATTTCTATGATTGGATGTCTAGGAGTATCAGTGGAAATTCCAACTTACCCCAGTGTTTGTCCGTAGTTAGGAACTAAAGGTATGTCTATAATCATAGAATAACTAAGGTTGGAAAAGATCACTAAGATTATCTATTCCAACCATTCAGAATACTGAGAAAGTAATGTTTTTGTCCGGAGAAGATAAATATAATTGACTGTTTTTAAGGAAGGTGTCCATAATAATGATGATAAACTGTGCCTACGATGGTTGTGTACTTTAATTCCTTTCTGAAGTATCTGTAGTTCAATAGAAACAAAATATTTTCCTGGCTCGTCACCTCAGGTAACTGAGTAGTAATTCACATGGGGTGGAAACTTTGAGTATTGCTGTTAGAGTCACTGATGTTCAGGAGCTGTCCTGGCGAGATGTCAGTGAACAGCTGCAACTGATGATTTGCTGTGCTGGAGCAACACGAGTTGGGACATTACTCTTCTTTTGCCTTTTGCACCTTTTCAGTTACATAAAAAGGGATGCTTGACTTTTGGAAAGCAGTGAGAAGACTTTGGTAAAATCAAACTTTCAAACTTGCCTTGCAGGTGTTCCAGGGACTGCTGCTGTTGGCCTGAGCTGTGTCTGGCACAACCTGGAGTACATGCTTTGTATGTGGCATCCTGGAGAGAATGCAAGTAGGGATACCAATTACAGTTTATTCTACTGGTTTGTATTAACACTTTATTACCAACCCTAAACTGCTTTAGTGCTAATCTGTAGTTGTAGATTACTTAATGCATTTTATTTCCTGTTGTCCTGAAAGCTCTGTGCACAGGGGTGTCCTGTCCAACAGAAAGCTCAGCTGCTGGAGGCTGCAGAAGTTGCTACTGCAGAGTCCAGGAAATTGATATGTTTATTATGTGAAGGATTTGCTGCTTCTAAAGCCCTTTTACTGCTTTTTTTTTTTTTTTTCCTAATTGTGGATTCAAACAAGGAAAAAGAACAGCTGCACTGGGGCTGTATGTTGGTTCCTCTCCTTGCAGCCCCATAGGCATGGGCAATTTAAGTCAGAATTGCTCACTAGTGCACGTCAGCTCTTAAATCATTGAAAAATGGTATGGAAGCATTAACATTTAGTAGTTCTGTTTGTATCTTCTATGTCATAAATAACTGATTCACGCTGCATGTAATGAAGAGCATCTTTTTATCATCATCCACGCTTGCCAGCTGACTGCCATAAACAGACTCTTGTTCCAAAGTCAGAGGGTTGCAGTGCGGTCAGAAACTTGGCTGATGGGGCTTGTGGGATGCCATGGGTATAATGTTAGCTGAGAATAAACAAATTGGGTCAGTGCACTGCAGTCATTGCTGAAATGGAGGCTTACCAGAGCAGGTTGATGTACCTACACAGCACTGCCTACTCCGAATGCTTCTCTTCTTTCCTAGACTCAAATTAGAGATAAGAAGAACAGAAACAAGAGGGAACCTGAAAATAGGATGAAAAAGGCAGTTGTGCCTTTGGCAGCCCTTCAGTAGGGCAGTGTGAAACAGGGAAGCATCATTCCTACTGTGCTCCTAAACGGAGCCCAGGTTGCTGGTTTGAGAACAGTCCCCTCATTTTCTGTGGAGGGAAAGTTACTGGAATGTTTTCAGTGGAACCCGGGGAGGCAAGGAAGAAGGCAGTCGTGCTATATGCTGTATGCTATAGCACAACTTCAGATCTGCCTTCAGGATTTATAAGAGCTTTATAAATAAGCTTGCCCCTTGCTTCCTTCTCTTCTGAAGTTAATTTTATTTTTTTTATTATTCCTGTAGGTTTGATGGTTTGGAAAGACATAAAGAGTGCAAAAATTATTCTGTGAGCCAAGGAAGCTTTGAATGTGCCTTCAGTTTTGCCTTCCCTCAGGCTGCCAATAGGTACCCACTGATCAGTATATTGATCAGAGATGACTCCGAAAATATTATGCCTGTATGCGTGACTGAAAATCCTACCACCCTTGGTGAGTTGAATGCCATGTAGAGGGGATGGGAAAAAATGGTGGAGGAAAAGAAGCTTGCTGGTATGTCAGTGTGTTTGAGAAACAGAGTGATTAGCTGTTCCCTTCTTCTACCCATCTTTGATTTAGAAATTATATAGATAAGGTTTGGTTCTCAGGAAGAGTTTTCACTCATTTCTACTCTTTGTCTTGATTCTTTATTTTTTTGGTGCTTTTTCCTCTTTCTGTTGCTAAGCTGGTATATGTGTAACATTATGCAATGTAGGACTTCTGTTCGCCTCTGTAACCAATGCAATATTGTCTTTAATTATTTCCATTTATTTCTGTTTTGTATGTCAGTAAAACCTGCCACACCAACGATAGCTAAACTATCATATGTTAACAATGGAATTCACCTGCAGTGGAGTGAATCGGGCACCATTCCAGCAAATTGTCTCAGTTATGAAGTGAGATACCACAAGGGTGACTTGACCACTGCTCAGACAATTCAAGTGAGTTTTCACTGCTTACATCTAACAGTCGTTTTTTGTTTTGTTTTCCCTGTGCATAGAATCACAGAATGGCTTAGGTTGGAAAGGACCTTAAAGATTATCCAATTCCAACCCACTGCTGTAGGCAGGAGTGCCTTCTGTAACTTGTGTTGATGATCATAGTAACTCATCCTTTGTTTAGAAACGAATGCTATGTGCTGTGTGTGCATGGGCTGGTTGCACTAGCTGAAAGCATTGTGTGGATTTGATAGATTTTTCTCCCACATGGTAGTTTTCCAGTAGTAATATATATACAACATAATCCATGGTAGTCTTCCAAATCCATGCTGTTGTCTATTACAAAGCAATAAATTGTAATAACTCTCTGGTAAAGAACTGTATGTTCAACTGAGTAATGACACTCACCAGGAAATATATCGTAGTGCCTAAGCATTCCTCTTTGATCAGGAACTTTGGTCTGGTGGCATTGTGCTTGCCTGCTATTGGTCTGCTCTCTGCCACGTCACTTGTTTGTCCTTAGACAACATGGCTCAAGTACTGTGAAGCAAAATTAATTGCACACAAGATGACAGAACCTTGTACAGAAAGTTGTGGGAGATTAAAAGTGACAACAGAGAGTGGGTGTGGAAAAAAAAGTTGTGGGGGTTTGAATTTATCTGTTAGGAATCTCATACCTTGCCTGATGAGTTAAATATACTGATAATACATACGGATAAAAAGCGTTGACTTTGGTGTCTGGATGTACGCATGCCTGAATCTGTGTAGTTGAACTGACTGTGCTGGCTGATCAGAATGGTAAACAACAAGATAAATTTAAAAGCAAGGTGCCAGTCTTGTCCAGCAGAGCATCTTTAGCAAACTCAAATTACGTTAACAGTTCTCAGGGAACTGGCGTCTTCTATCAGAAATATGTGAAGTTTGAGCCCAGCTCTCTATGGAGGCATCGCAGAAGAGTTTTTCATGGTTAAATTAAATCAGTATTGTTGGCCTGTCTGAGAGTGGGGCAGGCAGTGCAAGTCATAGATATTATATTGAAAAGAAAAAAAAATAGAACAAAAGGCACCTTGTCAGACACTGAGTCTTAGTTGAATCATTTTTGCCAAACGCTGTATGATAGGTACAGCAGTGAGTCAGTTTAAATCTTAGCTTTGGGATCTCTGTTTAGGCACTCTGCTGGTTAGATGCTATCATGTCCTTTTCTGCGAAGCTCAGTATTCATAAGAAGATCTTCCATCAAAACATCAGTATTACAATAACTGCAAGAGGGAAGGGGGCTCGTTATTGTTTTTTTGTCGTTTGTTTTTAACCAAAAAACTATATTGGTAATCATACAAAGCAAATTACCTTTTCCTGTTATGCTAGGTTAAATTTAATTCTACATCGATTCCTAGTGTTGACCCTAATAGCAAGTATACCTTCCAAGTGAGAGCACAGCCCAAGGTTGAATGCTACAGCAGCAAATTCTACAGTGATTGGAGCGAAGAAAGGAGCATCGGTGAGAGCAATTCTTCCCTGAATTTGAATTTATCTGTTAGGAATCTCATACCTTGCTTGATGAGTTAATGGGTGTCCTGGATCATCTTCCTATGTAGGTATTTAAATTTGCATGAAGAGAGATCAAAGGAATTCTATTATTGCTTACACTTCTGTGTTTTGGGTTGCCGTCCATTTAGCTGTGCAGTCTCCTCTTTCAAGTGCTGTCTCTTCTTCAGCTCTGAGTCTGTTTTTCATTTTCTTGCCAACTGTATCTACATTACAGTATCACATTCTGAAAAACGAGTCCTTGCCTACGAAAGCATTACTGTGTTTGAAAAACATTGTCTGTGAGTTAATTAGACTTAATTTGTTCATTGTCATTTTTTTTTCCTGAAAAGCCTCCCAAAACATCCCTAAGTTTGAACAATTTTTGTTTTCCAGGTGAGAACCCAAACTCTGCGTTCCATTTTCTTTTAATTATCACCATTCCATTAATAGTGACAGTGTCCACAATAATCCTACTTGTTTACCTTAAAAGGTAAATTATTATATTGCTTTATTTACAGTCCATTACTTCTGACTGGCCTTTGATTTCTGTTGTAACACATCTGTCTTCCAGTTAATTGCTCACAGTGTGACATGTTTCAAAAGTAGTTGCTTTTTCAGTAGCATGCAGCAAATAGCAAGAATGGCAACGCCATTGTGCCTCATCCATTGGAATTAGAGTAGTAGGCCAGATAGGTGCTCTGTTTTCCTGCTGGTAACATTGCTTATGTCTGCTTACGGTTAGATTCTTGTTGTACAGGTGTCACGTCCTCTCTTTTCAAGCAGTGAAGTCTAAATTCAAAATTAATATACGTGAAGTGCACATACAAGCGTGGAATTAAAGAATTCCAGCTGCAGTTGTGTAGAAGCTAAAAACAAGCTGGTGGTGTCAAAGCTGACTCCACACATTTTCTTGTCTGCACCCAATTGTGACTTGGAAATGATGATTTTTCTTTTGTAATGAATTCATTTGAAGTTTTTCTTCTTCATTTTCTGAAGGCTTAAGATATTAATTCTTCCCCCCATCCCGGACCCTCGGGAAATCCTGAAGCGCATGTTTGGGGAGCAGAACGAGGATCCCCAGGTTGGTACAAAGCTGTTTGGTGAGCTTATCTATGGAGCCGGAATCTGTAAGCTTCCACTTTTCTTTTTGATACCATTTATCTCAAAACCAACACGATATACATAAGACCAAGTAATTGCAATGGTAAGAGCTGTATGGAAACAGTTACCTAAAGCTTTATGTTGTGAAACTGGTCTGTCTTCTGGGGGGGTGAAAAAACAGTTCTCACAATAAAAAAAAAAATGCTGCTAAAAAACATTGCTCTTCTCTTCCAGAGCTGTGCAAAGGAGGACTGTATGAGTGGTTACGACAGGTTAATCAAGGAAGAAGAAATTCATTCTTTAATTTTAATAGAAACTCCTGAATCCTCTAATTCTGAAAAAGAGCACCGATAAACTGCTTTCAGAATAGAAGATAAGTGAAGATTTCCAGAGTTGCTCCTTTAACTCAGGTGACAAAGTGGATGTGAAAAGGCCTGCGGACCATTCACCAACTCCTACTTCCGGAGTCCTTTCTGAGCCTTATTTCTTTGATGCTCAGAAGATGCATCACCATTGTTGGCCATTCTTCCATCTCTGCTAGCAAAATTCATCTTGGATCCTTTGAGATGAGCATGTACATAAATTTCATCTGACTGCATTGCAGTGTTTTTTGTTCAGCCTCTGACCTGCTCTGCCCTGTTACTTGTCACCTGCACCTGTGTTTGTGCTGCACAGTTTGTAAGCGTTGGCTGCTTTTTGTCAGGTTTTGTTTGTTTTGGAGCGTGTGCTCCAAAGTGTTTGGCTTTGTTCCTCAGCAGGTGAGGCAGGGTTTGATAGCAGCAGGTGAGTCACTGTTGAGCTGCACACGGAGCTGCCAATAGATGGGATGCAGAGCAGCAGCCCTTTGGGCGCCCTGGGCAGGGGGTTTGCAGGAAACATCCATGGACTGACCTTCCCAAGCTGTGCTTCAGCCGTGGGCTGAATAAACCCAGTATGAGAGTTGCTTTTTCTTGAGATACGTGTGAGACACCTCCCCACCTTCCAGCTGGTATCCAGACTGTTGACAGAAGACTCGCTTTGGCTTTTTTTATCCTTTCAAGTGCCTTAGCTACAAGGCCTTCATGAACTTTGAGTGTTAACGAAACTTCTTAAGTGATAACCATTATCTTTACCTCTGTTGTGCAGTGGCTGGTGACTGTCACCAGACTGTCATCTTGTTCTGGCCATATTGGCCAAGTGACTACAGGAGCTGAATCATAGGGAGTTTATCCAGCAGAATTACCAGGGTGGATGCTTGAGTCCTAGACCACAGAAACTGAGTGAATGCGAGGACTTCAAGATTTGCCTGTACTGCTGTGCTGAGGGATTTGGGGAAGGAGATGATGACAACCTTGGCCTGCTTTCTTGGGGACAAACTTTGTTGTTTCAGTAATGATATAGAATTGTTAAGGTTAGAAAAGACCACGAAGATCATCTGCTGATGACATTTGGATTCCAGTTTCCTCTCTTGGGACTTTGCAGTTTTTTTTAAAAGGTGCTTATTTGACTTCAAGGAAAACTTTTTTTTGACTTTTTTTCTTTTTTTTTTTTTTAATCATGAATTAATTTGTTCATTTTTTTCTTGCATGGTTTTATTTTGAGGTTACTTTACCCAGCAGAGCCCAGCAGAAGTTTTCTGGCACAACTGTGACTTTTCTCTGCACTGAGTTGCGAGCGTTTGGTTTGTGAGCTGTGCTGCAAGGCTGCTGACAGCAGAGCATGGTTTGTGCTGGAGGCAGAAAGCTGTGGGGAGAAAGGGGCTGTGCTGAGGGGCTTCTTGCTTCTCCCTCTTCTTCCTCAGCATCACAGTGTGGGTGTGTGGGTTGTTGAAGCCTGTTGAAGCCACTGACTTCCTCCCTCTCAATATTTCCCAGTCCCCACTGAACCACTCAGATATGCAGTTCCTTCCACATCTCCTGCCTACCTCCAGCTGCTGATGGTGGAAAGGGAAGGAGAAGTGCAGCAGAACTAACAGATCACATACTACCTTAAATCTTCTACTTGCAAACATGCTAAAAATGTATAAATTGGTTGATGAGACAAAACAAGAAGTCTCAGGGATTTCAGTGCGATAGAATGACGCTCAGGTTATACAGAGTCAGCTAGCAGCACTGTTTGGTATTCCAGAGGTAAAAGAATAGCATGGAGGAAAAGGTATTAATTTCGTTCATGGACTTCACTCCCGCTGCCATGCAATGCTCATGTCATTATAGAGAGATAATGATTTCTCACATCTACCTCATCTCAAATGTTGCTCGTTGTAGACCGCTAGACAAACAAATGTATGATTTCAGTATCAGTAATCATAACATACCGAAAGCCACAAACCTTTATGTTATATCAATCTAGGAAGATAATCCTTGGTGCTTTACCCTGAGTTCTTTTGGCTTTGTTCTGGTGCTTATGGTAAAACCAAAGTGTGTTTGTTTGGAAAACAAACAGAAATCCCGCAAGGAAAAGGAGGGGGTAAAAGCAGACTTGAAGTTCTAGGCTGAAAGAGCTTAAATACAGAGGATGGTTTGTATCAATAGAGAAATGTTTGGGGTAATCCTTTGTTTTTGTGTAATAGCAATTGACACACTTCCCGATGGACGGGTGCTCTTCCTGAGCTTGTGTTTCAGCATGCAAAGTGTCTGTGTGTATTGTGGTCTCCAGCACATCTTGTTTACGGTGAGGGTTTTCTCCCCAGTTTTGCTGTTGTTTGTGTGCTGTTTGTTGCAGTTACTTGAGCTGTATGTTTGTTTAAAAAACGAATAAATACGTTGGAATATTTTTCGATAGAGGTGTGTGGCATTTTGTTCTTGGCTTGAGAAAAGACAGCGGTGGTTTGAGAAGGAGGCATGCTTGAGGCAGCAAAACACAGAAGAAAAGCAAAGTGTAGCTTTGCTACCTCTCCTCTCAGTGAGCCCAACCCATGTCATCAATGGGCAACAGGAGGATTGCTGGTTTGGGGCTGAAATAATGAGGTGGAGATGGAGCTGTGCACACGATGCGCGCTCTTGCCCTGTGCATTCTCACTCCAATGCTATTTTCTTCCATTGGTGTGTTTTTCTGTAATACAGAAGTAATAAATAGTACCTTCTCAGGCAGAAATTTGACTCAGTTTGCTGTAACCATAGGAGTAGTTTGAGTATTTCATGTGCCTGTTAGTTGCTGAAGTAATTATAAAATGTCAAGTTGCTAACCTGATGATAGCCATGGCCTGGCTGCTTAGACCCAGATGTGCTCAAGTGCCAAATAAGCACTTCAGCAATGGCTTGTTTGAAAGATTCTGTGAAATGTACACGTTGTTCACTTCAGTGAGCAAATCATTCAGAGTTAAAGAACAAACTGTGAGGATAAATAGCAAGGCTATTTGGATTTTTGGTTTCTGGTTCGAAAATTCTTGTGGCAGTAATGAGCAATAATGATTTTAAACACTCCTCAAAAATTGTTCTCTGTTTTTAATACACTGTGCTCGATACAGAATGAAGTTTTCTGTATCTGACTTGTCCGGAAAAATCCAACATCTGATTTACTTGTAAATGTTCTTAGCTCTCAATTAAGGTATGACATGACATAGTTAGGTAGCTTAAAAGGAATCAGTAGGTGGATACCTTAGTTGTAAGTTAAAGTATTTCAGTGCTTAACAGGTACAACTATTCACAGATGGAAGACTTTCCAGTGAATGGAAATACCCAATAAATTTAGTTCTGATTTAGCACTTGAAATATTCAGAATTTCCACTGGAAGGAAAAGGTTGATTTTTCTTTTCTCTTTTTTTTTTGTTAAAAGGCTTTCAGTTTTGGAGGGATTTTCCCCTTGCCCCAAGAAAGAGGTGGGTGAAAGGGAGCCAGGTACGGCCATGGCACTGCCAAAACCCCCCAGCACTGTGCTCAGCAGCTGCTGCTGCTCTGGGAGTGGGCACAGCGGGGCTGGGGAGAGCAGGAGGCCAGTCAGCTCTATGAGGTCAGCTCATCAAGATGATGACCATTTTGGTTTTGCTCACTTGGTTTTTGCTGCAAGCATTCGGTCAGAACAACCCCTAGTGAGCGAGTTGCCAGCTGTAGAAATGCGGCTTCTAGATGAAAGCTAAAATCCAAACACAAAATCAGATTAAGGTATTTCGATTTGGGCGAGTTTCCTACGAGCTCTGTTGAATCATGGTGAAAGTAGATGGCTGAAGATCAAGGTGATGTAACTGAATCCACGCTGTCACCACAGCAAAGCGATGCGGGTTTGGGTGGGAGGCACAGGAGAGAGAAAAACTTTCTTTCAGGTCCGGAAATGGTGCACTCAGGTTTGCAGCACGAAGATCTTGAAAGCTTGTTGATGGCTTCTAGGTCTCTTCTATTTTTTAATTTTTTTTTCCACCAGTTATGTTGGTTTAGGTTAATGAAATATTTTCTCTTTGCTGCAAACCTAGCGTGTTTATCACTAAGGTATCCTCTCCGCGGCTGTGCTGTAATTATTTCCAAGTGGTGCTCTTAAGGTAATAACTCAGCAGGGAAAGCTAATGACTGCTGTCACAGCAGAGCTGTAACCCTGCCAGTGTATTCTAGTAATTTCTGCTCCTTGCTTTGCTTTTGCCAAAGCACTAAAATTATTTTGACTCTTGCGCAAAGCATCTATGAAGAGATGTTTTCCAGCTAAGCCGTGTTTCGAGTAATCATCCTCTTAGCCTGATGCACTGAAGTTTTTGTCGTATTCAACTGACCCTAAATGGCTAAAATAGTCTTGACTAAAAGCATGGGATTAAAAATAGAGATGAAGAGGTTTGTTATGCTCGGGCAGCGTCACTCTTTGGAACTTGGGCAGATTGAAAAGTTCAATCTGCTGAACCAAAGTTAAATTACTGTGGAGCTTTTTAAAAAATAATAAAATTGAATGTGTGCTTCATCCTGGAAAACATACTGATTTTTTTTTTTTATTATTTTTATTTTTTGGGATGTGCACTGGGTGTCTTTTCCTACCGATTCAATCAAAGATTAATTAGACCACATATTATCAGCTTTTTCTCACTGGTGCTTTCTGTAAAGTCCAAAATACGAAACTCCAGTGCTTCCCTACAGCACTCAGTGTGTCCCTGCCCCTTCTCCTGGGGGCTCTCTGTGCTTGAACAGAGCAAGTTGTAGGAAAATAGTTGTTTTTTTGACAGTGGCAGTGGGAGCACTGAAATTAGCTCCTAGTCACCATGTTTTGCCTCTTGGAACCTTTCTCCCTCCTACACATCAAAGCCTCTGAGCATCACCTATTTCCTTCCTTTACACAAAATGTCAGTGTAGAAACTTAAAAAATACCGAGGAGGTACTTCTAAAAGCCATGAAACTGCTCAGCTCTTCAAATATCAACCTGTCCATCTGCTACAAGGAACATTACTCACAGCGTGGCTACTTAATTTTTAATTTACATTCTATCATAGAATCACCAAGGTTGAAAAAGACCTACAAGATCATGGAATCCAATCATTCACCTGTCACTAATAGTTCTCACTAAGCCATGTCCCTCAATACAATGTCTGAATGTTCTCTGAACTCCTCCAGGCTGGTGACTCCACCATCTCCCTGGCAGCCCATTCCAGCACCTGATGCTCTTTTGGAGAAGTAGTATTTCTTAACGTCCAGCCTGAATCTCCCCTGGTGCAACGTGAGGCCATTCCCTGTAGTCCTATCACCAGTTACAAGAGAGAAGAAGCTGACCCCCAGCTTGCTACAACCTCCCTTCAGGTAGTTATATCCTCTTCCACGAGAACATTCAAATGTAGGTAACCTAGTCTGGATGGGCAAATAATAGAGCAGTATCACTAGCTGGTGTTTTTCCAGGGCTGATTTTCACATCACTTTTATTGCACGTACAAGGCTTTGTGGCTTGTGTTCCATCACCTATTGGTTAAGGCTTTGTGGAGCTGGAGGGGCTCTCAGGACACCATTGTGGTTGTTTGCTTGCAAAAGAAATCTCCAGTGAAGGAGGGTCTCCCAGGCTCCTATTCTGCTGTGTTTGCCTTAATTAGAAAGCTCCCCTAGTAACTGACCTAAATTGAATTTGCTGCAAATTGAGTTGATTCCTTGTCCTTCCTGCCATTGCCGCAGTCTGTGGCTGTTCAGCAGCTGTTCTGCACTCCTGAATGTTGCCCTGACTTCAGTCTGCTTTCACTTTTCTGCTTTGAAAAGATCTTTCAAACTCATTGCCTCAATCGTATTTTCTAAGCAATCTGTCATTCTTTTTGTCTTCCTTGTAGTGCCTCTGCTGTATTCTAAGCAAAACTGCATCATCCCTCAAACAGAATTTGCCTGGTTGGTTTGCCAGTCCTCATTTCCCAATACGTCCAGAATTAGGAGCATTTCCTTCTTGCTGCAGTGGATTGTTGCACAGTCATTTTCTGGCTTCTGACAATTTGTGATTATTTTTTAGCAATGCTTCTACTCTGTCTGTGACTTTTCACTGAGTAATTGATTTCTCTTGCCTAAGAGGAATGCTTTTTATAACTTTTGTCACTTACATTTCTATGCCAGTTGAAAACCATTGCAACTTTTTTTAATACTCTAATTGTGTCCCTGGACATCTTTCTAACCATTCTTCATTCAATATGATCAGTGCAGGGCATTCTTTCACATGGTTCGGTTGTTCAAAATACTAAATGGAGCTATTAACCTGACAGATTCCTGTGAAATAGCATTTGCTGTCCTACTGGATGGCCAAGAGCTCTTTAGGAACTGTTCCTGCAGACACCTAAGTTCAGGCTGGAGGGCTCTGAGCAGTGATGGAGCTGTGGGTGTCCCTGCTCAGTACAGGGGAGCTGGACCAGATGGCCTTTAAGGCTCCCTTCCACCTCAACTGTTCTACAGTTTAGCAAGCTGTGTGTCCACCTTGGTGATAAGCTGTTGTAGTTCCTCGAGTTGATTGGAAGGTTGCCCTGTGTTTGTGGCCTACCAAGAAAAAAAAAAGGGTGTTGGTAGAAGCAGTTGTTAAGGGTTTGTAAGCAACGTGAAGAGATACAGAACTGCTTACTTTTTCCCTATAGAAATCTTAGAAGAAGAGTTGGATAACTGGATGAATAACTTCTCGGAGATCTCCTTTCTGCAGACAGTCATGATGTTTGTCATTCAGTTTTTAGGGAGAATTTCCATCTGTTTCAAAGGGACATGCAGCGTTTCAGGCGGCTGCAGTATTGAGGTGGTTCTGTGCTGGGGGATTAGCACGGCCCTGCCCACCCGAAGACACACACTTTGAATGCTCTCCAGCCAGTTCATCTGGATGTGTCTTCATTTGCCTGCTGAGGTGCTCTGATTACAGATAATGATTTTTTGCAAGGACTGAAACAAAAGGAAAATGGAATGCACGAAGATTCACTGCCTGTTCCAATCCCATTGAGTCTACACCCCTATTTCACTTTCTTTTCTCCTGCAGGGTACACACCTCAGGCAAGGCTCTTTCCTTGCCTGCTTCACCCTCTGTTACAGGATGCCCTTAGCCTTAGTACAGAGCAGAGGCAGGGCATGCTCAGAAGGAACGAAAAACATCAGATCTTCCTGAGATAGAGACCACAAATGACAGCATACACAAAGCAGGCTTCATTGCCAGTGCCCTGCCAAGGCAGGCTGCTGCTTCTTGCCTTGCATCCTCGTTGTTCTACCAAATATGGCAGGAGGATGAGGTCTGGTGCCACCTATTGCTGCATGTTTGTCAGTCTTCGCTCTAAGAAGATGTAGAAGTGGATGCAATGTGGATTTTTGCTCTGTTGCTGTGTTCTCAAAGTAGAATTAGAATGGGACGTGCACTATAAAAAACAGAGAG